TTTTTTTTATCTCCGCAAACTTTTACCCGCGTTTTTTGGTATTCAAGAAAAAAAAAAATAAAAATAAGGAAAAGAATACGAACAAAATAAACGAAAAAGAAATAGGGAATGTTATATAAATTCATCTCATATATATCCTCAACAAAATGAAGCTTAACTCCATGAGTCCATCTCCATGACTTGTCCCAGATCCCAGCGATATGCGTTTGCATAACTCGATTTAATTATGCTACCACATACTTGTACACGTTATGCTTCAAGATCCCCTCCGTTCCAGTTATGCATTAGTTATTCAGTTAATGCAACAGAGGTACTGCACAACGAAAGCGTTGCGGAAAAGGTCGGATAATGCGGGATGTAACGGGTCCCAGATTCATGAGGACCTTGGTGGCCGTCCCCTCGGTCCTGCCGTCTATAACGAGAAAAGTCCGAGGTCCGAGGCCCATGAACCCTCGGCCGACGGAGTTTCGAGTTTGTAATGCTACGGAGTAGCTTCGTACACTATTCACTCCACGGCATATTCCTTCTACTCTACCTAGGCATACCTAACTTACCTACCTACCTTAGTGGGTAAGGTAAGGTAAGGTATAACTCAAACTAAGATAGTTAGTTAGCAGTCTAGTTAAAACGTGGTCAACAACGACCAAGCAATTTACCGGGACGGGCGGGTTAACATGACCCTGGACGGGGCTTGTGTGAGGAACAGGTAGGTAGGTAGCTAATGAAAATGCAATGAAATGACTGGCTTCAAAGTACAGAGTTAGGTGGTTAAGGTACTTTATGTCGTGCTTCTTTAGGGAGTAATACTATTATAAAGCTACACAGGGTAGGTAGGTACGGTAGGCAGTGAAAGAAAGGTAAAAAGGACCTAGGTTATTTGGAAAGGATAGTAAAAGGTGTAGTGTGATTCTGCGCTCTTCACGGTGCGGTACGAATACAAAACATGTTGGTGTTTATTATTGCATGCATGAGGTACACGGTATGACCGTATGATTAGAGAGTATTCCGTGTATGGAGTACTCCGTACGAAAGCTTCAATAATCTTGTTCCAAGCGTTAAGGTAGGTGGCCAGCACAAGTTATGCCAGCAGCATAACCTTGTACGTCCCCTTAGTCCAGGGCGCTAAGGTAGATCAATAACGAATGGGATTATACCTACGTTGACTGAGGTACATAATGCTAAAAGTCCATACCAAATCCTAGTTATGATTTTATCACCAATTAATCCGACAGAATTGTTAGGAACAATATTCCATCGAGTGGCCGAAAAAATCACACCTTGCGTTTATGGGACCATCCTTGCCGTTGACTTTTTGGGATAGGGACGGCGTTACGGCCCCCATCCAGAGAGTTAAGAGCGTGTACAGAAGTTAGGTCGGGACACTGGTCAGGGGTAATATGCAGATGCAATGCAATATCAACGCACTATCGCGCCCATGGAGGGGTAAAAAACTGCAACTCAAGCGCTTACGATGTGAGAGGGGTGGGAGTGGTTGAGGACACAAACACAAGGTAACTACAAACACAAGCTACTAGCGGGCTGAAGCCTTTTTACAGTATGTTACTTTGTACAGTAGCTTCGTACTCTAGGCCAAAGGGGCAAGCGTCGAAATGGTGATGATTGTCCCGATGATTGACCTCATGGAACGTTTTAGCATATGCAAGGATCAGACAACGTTAAGTTTTGAGCATGACATCAAGCGTAGATGGGGGGACGATGGGGGCGGGCTGCTTGTTGTAAAGCAAAACGTGTCTCCGATATTATTTGCCGTCATATTTTCCTTTTCCTTTTCCAGATATGCACGACTAGATCCTTCCTCGCCGCAAGGTCGCAGTCGTGGTCCGCGAACGAGGAACCTACCAAAGGCTAAGTTGACTATCCTAGTTGGGGAGAGCGGAAGGGTCGCAGATGAGCGGCCCGGGCCCAACTTGCGCTTGCGCCGGACCGAAGGGTCGGCCACTGGGTCGACCGAGGCAGAATCCACGAAACGCACTTTTGCCAGCCCTAGCGCAGCATGGCAAATCTACTACGGAGTAGAGATAGGCTGGAAAGTAGTAGTTCCGTAACTTACATCCCCCTTTTTTTTTATTTTATTTTTTTTATTTTCACACTCGCGTTGGATGATCATCCGGCTTTACCACGTTGCCCAATGGTTTGGTTATTGGGAGCTGGAGCAGGCCTTTATTATCGTCCCCTGCCCAAGCTTGCGTGTCTAAACTCATCCCCGGTCGTTTTGTGCGTTTTGGTTGCATTTGCGGCCACTACGGCTGCTGTGCCTCCATGCGGGTTGTGGCATGGATAATTCTATGTTCATGTTCCAGGGGTTTTGTTGGATTGTTCGACACCAACATCAGCATCTCCATGGTTGCCTTGTTGCCTTGCTGCCTCGGTGCCTCGGGCATATGCAATGTAATGCTTTTGTGACATGGCGAGAAATCGTAACGTTGTCTCCCATTTCCCATTTCGGATGGTACCTTATTACGTTTTTTCGTAGAGAGATCATGCGCGACTTTGCCGTGTAAAGTTTTGACAGTGGCGCGGCATATCATCAATTCTGTGGAGAACGACTGGACGAGAGCAGTCTATTTCAAATGATGAAAAAGCAAATTGAGAATTTTGGTTGGTCACCAGTGCATGTAATGATCGAGATGAAGCCATGCCTTCAATTCCGCACCTGCACACATCTCCGAGCGTCATGGTTAGCAAGGACTCTCGGGTCGAACGGAGCTAATTCGCGTTCAGAAAAATGGCAATGGTAAAGAAGATCCTGATGGCAAGGTTCGCTGCGAAAGGGGTCATCCAGTAAAATCATGCCGGCTCTAGGAGAGGCAGACGACTGGAAATGTCCAACTGCAAGATGTTATTTGGACAATCCTGGATCTATACACAGATAACACAAAGCCAAATATCTTGGACCCTAGGCATTCCCGCAAAAGTAACTTTTTTGGCTCGCATCCCTGATAAGATTAACGTCATCGCTAAGGCTGAGGCCAACCAAAATAATGCGAATCTTGCAACACTGGAATTTGCCAGGGCCTCCATGTGCAGGCCTAACTCTCGTAATCGCTTCAACGCGAAAATTTCGTGCTTGAATTTTTCCTAACACGATCCAGTTCTTCTCCTTTCCGGCTCCACTTCCTCTCCACAAAATAAATGAAATGGTCAATAGCATGGGGCCGGAATGAGTTTGTGGCGTTTAGTCAGATTTAGATGATATTTTGTCATGCTTATTGATTCAGCGTAGATCCAAAAAAGCACGACAGCGTCAGGGTGCATTGTGGGAGAATAATGCCCGAGATGTTTTCACTACGAACGCACCGTTGTCTTAACTCGGCTCCAAAAAGGCCGGACCGTTTGTTAAACAAGTGGGCCGGAGAGTATGAATTGCTTCATCCATCCGTTTGTGAGTCGAATATTCAGGACGCGTATGCTCTCCAGGGATCCGGCTCCTCCACAAGGAAAAAAAAAAAAGAACTATGGATTGCGGGTCCACATTGAATCATAATTCCCTCCCATCTGCAATATCGTCATTTTCAGGCAGTGTAAAAGCGGGCTAAGCAGCGAGTTGAGTTCGTGCGTTTTGAGCGTCGGTTCCAAATAAACGAGTTCAGTGGAGAGCTGAGCAAGATGTTAGGCGAATATCTCGAACGCTTTTTGTTGGTGTTTAATCGTCTGAGACGACGGAGACATAGTTCCTCCAATCAACGTCCCTATTGTAAAACTTTCTCGCCCATCTACGTGGCGGGAATCTTAGCAAAAATGGTCGCAAGCATCACCCGGTTCCAGAAATTGCCTTTTGGAGGTATCGGAATACTCTCGGAATCTCCGAGAGATTCAGACTACCGTAAGCGGTTAGTTAATGACTAGGCGGGAAATACTGTTAGTTTATACTTACCTTGGGTTGGTATGGACTCTAAGTTAGTTATAGCCCCCAACGCGAAAAAGGAAAATCACAAATAATGCCGCTTGGATAAGACTCTCCAGTCTTTACGGCCAAGATCATGATCAATACTGCTGGATTCTTGTAGTGGAGGAAAAGGCGCAAAACGACGTTTAGGCTCCGGAACGTCTTCGCCCCCAAATCAGTAGGCTCGTTGTTCGGGCCATCGGGAGCGTTCGTCAAGAGAACAGGCCACGAGGTGGGTCAGTTGGGAAAACGGGGAACAGTGGGCGAGGCGATCATAGCGGCGGGCACTGCGATGAGTTAGAGCGACAACCACGGCCCACTAGGTGGGACTTGCAGGAATTTAAGGTCGCCGACTCAAGGTCGCCGAATTATAAGTTCGCCGTTTAACCTTTTCCTTTCAACCGAGGTTGATGCGGAAGTTCCCCGTCACAGTCCATAATACATTAGTAATTCCGCTGTATGCTTCCGTGTAAAATGACAAAAGCATTTCAAACATGCTGGTCAGCAGACAATACAAGCAAGGCAGGAGATAACTCCACCGCATTTTGTAGGCATTCTAGATAACAGGAAAAGAAATACTACACTAACTTTTCAAGACTCCCCCCCCACTTAGCTGGCTCAAACCCGAAACACCGTCCGTAAGGATGGTAATCACCAGCAGTGCGTCTGATCAGATGTAGCTGTGTGCAAAACGTTGAGCGTTTGGAGTGAGCCAAGTGCCACGAGGTTCTGGTGTGATTTCATTTGATGAAAGGCCCGGTGTATCTCTGTATCCATCGAGATCCGATCGGCCCCCCTTGCCCCCTTTACGCCAACTACGTAGACAACTTAATTGGCGCATCTTGACGTGGAAGTGGATGGGGCCAAAAAAAGAGTGGGATGGATTTGCAATACCAGTTTCGCCGGCCTGCCCAGATGCACTCTTGGTACTCAATATCGGAAAGCCCATGACAAATAATGAAAAGTCTATCAATTATTCACGTCCTGGATTAAAGTTTCTTCTGACCGATGATATGACGACGGAAGATACCATATAATTATTCCATGTGTTCTAGACCCTTGCCTGTAACATACCGCTGTCTTAGGTTGCCCGCCTCAGGTGAGCTTGAATCCCGAAATGACTTACCGAAGAAGTGCACCAATGACAGATTGCCCAAATGAGATGAAAGTCAACCGACATGGGGGACAAGCCGAGAGGACCTCCCTCTCCAGCAGAGCTCATTTGACCGTTGCTTAGAACGAATGAAGTCCGGCAAAAATTCAAACAAACGGGTTCATAAAGAATAAGGAAAAGACAATTCCAGCATTGTTTGATAATAAAGAAATGGCTGTATAGGAGCGAAACCAAATATGTATATATATGTGCGTGCTGTAGGACAAGGAAAGAAAAACATGGAGCCGTCATGAGATTGTGAGAATCGCTGTTAGATCAGAGCTGAAGACATGAGAAAAGCCACACTCAGCACACCCCCTCGTTACTTTCCCAACCTGATCTGAGACTTTCCCCAAAGGTCCACTTTGGGGGCCGGCACACCTCAAGTAATGCTTGTGCGATACTTTTGAGCCCGGTTAGTCATAATAAAGATAGTCGCTCGTTACGCAAAAAGAAAGAACTCAAAAGCAAGGCACGATGCCGCCACCCAGGAATAATGCGTCGGGTATAACAATATATCGTAATTAGCAAAGTTGCTTTCTCCTCAAAAATTCGAGATTTCCGCCCAGAAGAACTTTTCAACGTCGTATGATATTATCCTAGAAGGAGAGATAGCCGGTTTGATGGTCGACAAGCTCTGTGCGGCCAATGCCGCCAAGGTTCTGCATAGAGTGTGACAAAGGGGGGAGGCTTGACGAGGTTTGCATCGGCATGGGGCTCATCGGCGAGACGCCGTCGTAGTTCGAGATTCTGGCATGCAACGGCGTCCCACTAGTATTTCTCAGGTCCTTGCGGGACATTATTTCGTATCGTTTTGGACAACCATCCTCAACGTGTCTATTGCAAGATGCTAGTACCAAAGCGCCACAGAGGTTCTATGAAACGAATGGGTGAGCGTTTCGCAGGGAGAAATACCTTCTAAGTGTGTCCTTTCTTGCGAACTGGCTGCCGCAGAGGTTGCATCCGAAATTTCGAGATTTAAAGTGCACCTTGCAAATGGGTTAGCTTTTTTCAGAACTCAGTAACGGTTTTCTTCACATACACTGTCTTGATGGCGTAGTAGGTCCGTCTTTCGCACAAACTTCTTTGTACAGTTCTTGACTGTACAAGGATGTGGGTAGACGCGAGCGGGATCGTGTGTTTCCATGTGGGCTTTATAATTGTAGCTCCTTCCAAATAATTTCCCGCAGATTCGACATTCATGATTTGCCTCGGCCGGTGTTGTGAGTTGCCGCCTCTTTCGAGTCCTCGCCACGCACGTAATGAGTGGGCGATCGTATTCATATCGCTCGGCTTCCAGGTCCTGAAATCCGGTTGAGTGCTCTTTGTAGTTCCGCCCGAAATACGGCCGGTCGTCTTCGTCGAGCGCTTCGTACTCTGAGAGAGACGGTGGAATTGTTCGAGCCGCAGAATGCCCTTCAATGGGGGTGGGAAAAGAGGCTTGGGGAGCAGTTATGAGGTTGTGATTAGGAAAGGCAGCTGGGAGACTTGTACTGGTGACGGGGAACCAGTCGTTCGGATCTTCCACCTTAACCTTGGGATGAATTGTCGACGTGCTGTAGCCCAGATCAGATCCTACTTGGGAATAGATATCTGAAGCCGGGCCGGAGGACACCGATGACCTCTGCGACTGGAGATTATCGGCATTTCGATATTCTGTAGCGGGCTGGGGGGGAGGATTATAGGCGGAGCGCATGAAGCTTTCAGCAGGCGCTCCTGACAGTGATGCAAACGGATCATAAGCTTCGGAGAAGACATCAGGTGGACCTTGAGTATGATAGACCAGGTTTTGCTCTGGAATTGGTTGTCGTGACCAGTATTCAGTCGGTTGCGGTGAAGGTGGAAGTATATTAGCCGGGAGAGGAGACGTCGTAGGAGCCATGGAATAGCCATATAGGCCGAGGCCTCTCTCCTGCCCTTGAGGAGCATGCTTAGCCGTGTTCTGGGGCGATGTGGGATGGGAGGAGTCGAAAGGAAATGCTGCAACACGCCTCCTTGACTGATGATAAGGGGACACTGAGTCGGATGATCGAAGGGATTGCGGTGTCCGCTCCATGAGGGAAATTGAAAACAGCACTCCGGGGGGGTTTTCCAGCTGAATAGATCAAAGCGACGCGTAAGCGGAGCGGAAGAAGATGAAGCGTGAGCCAGCTAATTCCAATGATGGCAGAAACGATGAACGATAGTCAAACGAGAATGGAGAGACTGCGCCCTTCAAGAGCTACATATAAGCTGATGAAAAGAAGCCAAATGCAAGCAGACCGCCTAGAATGACGCAAGAATAGCCTTGCACTGGGCAGAATGGTCCTACAATAGAACAATGCGGCGGTGATTAACGGGCAGGAGGTTCAGTGTTCTTGAGAAGCCAGATAGATTCATCCAAAATTGAGGCGGTACTGCCTTGAAAAGGTAGCAAACTAGCAAACCCTGGACGAATCTCCCCGCTGTCGCCGCTGCTCTTGCTGCGGCGAACGGCCGCGGCACCAGGTCGCCGGCCCTTGAACCGATCCGTCCCAAGAGCACGACGCATACAGGGGAATGAACTTGGGTTCGGGCTTGGACGCTGTCGGAGGGGGTCGAAAACACATCCCGGTCAAGAAAAAGGTCAAGTCATCGAGCTTGGAGCGTGCGCGGGTGTGTGTGCCATGCCCTTGCTCCGCGTGGGGACTTGTAACTGCACTTTTGCTTTCACTGCGTCTATCCATTTGGGTATCCTCTCCTGTTCTTTTCCGAGATGCATAGTTCGCACCACTCGCACGAGCCATACAAGCGTAAGGCGTCAGGTGCTAGTCGATGGTAGTGTCCTTAAAAGTGGAGGGGCCAGGGTTGCAGCATGCCTGTAGTCACAGAAGTACCCAGATGGGCACGAAGGGATCCAGTTCGATGGCAATCTTTAGGGGGACGGGTGAGGAAAAGAGGCCACGGCCAATGACTACCACCCCGCCGGAGGGTCTTCTGCTTCATGGCCTCATGAACGAGAATACCGGGGGCCCCTGCCAGTTCATTGACAAGTTCGATTCTCCCCTTGTTTAAACCGTCGGAGACGGGTTGTTCATTTGTTAAAGGGGGGTGAAAAGATACTGTATGTCTTTGAACCGCAGCACTTGCATCGTTTCGGCCGCAGTGATGCGCTTCCCTAATCATCTGCCACGCCCTCTCTCCAGCCCAATCGCTTGCGTCTGTGAACGCAGCCGCAGACGAAAGTGAAATTCCCCTGAATCATCGAATCGATTTGCATCTTTCCTCTCCCGCTGCTCGGCTGCGGCGCTCTTCTCGGCCCACTTCGCCCCTCCCTTCTCCCGTCAACCTATCTGAGCTTAGTCGGTGGTGAACAGAGTCAAGGAGAATCAAGGTGCGAAAAACTGTGCCGGACCCCAACCGTGCCCAAACCCGGCAATGCCAGAAGTCGACACTAGAAAGTTAAGCATCTCTATAGAGAGGTCATCGTTGGGCTAGAGCGAGTGGTGAAAGCGCCGAAACCAAAACGCATGAAGCTCAAAGTTTTGCTTTAAAGAATGTTGCACATGAATATTATTCAAGTCACCTAAGAGTCATCTACCTATCAATTCTGTATTTTTCGCGTTCTTTTGGTACTATATGATGAGTTTGTCGTAATCTAGGGTCTATGTACTTCGTACTTCGCTGCTTGCCAATGCAAAGTTTGGGTCGGTAGAGAGCGTTGCGCAGGCTTGAACGCAGTGTCAACCTGATTGGCATCAGGCAGCGGATTGCCCGTGAGCGGGAAATTGAGGTGTATCCGATCGATGATGGAGGATCACTGAGGGACCGGCAGCCCCACCATGGTTCTTTCAACTGCTCTGCTGGCGAGCCAACATGGAGGCCAGCTCAGAGACCTGAGAGCTCAGTTTCTCTACCATGACCCTCAAATCTTCGGGCGGGGCATCGACGTTGCTACTCTGCTGCGAGGTCGGCCGCTGTTGCGCCGATCGACTGGGGTAGACGACCCTTGGGGCCAATAAGTCACGCTTGGTAGCCGCCGTCGATGGCACTACGCTTGCCGAGATTGACCGCTTTAACGAGGGGGCCGGCCCACCTGAAGGCCCTCTCGCTCCGCCGAGCTTTATTGACGACGACCTCATCCGGCCCGAGAGGGAACGGTGGGCACTTTCGTACGCCCATATTGCAAGTACAAAGGGAGCATGGGTAATCTTCAGCACAACAATCCGAGCACTTCGGACCTTTTCCGCGGGCATTATGAGCCGCAACGGGCGGAAAAGTACGAGAGGTATCAGATTCTAAAAAGGACATCAGTCCCCAAGGACAGACAACGCACACATGCTACGGGGGATTCAGGTCTGAAATGACCACATGCGAAAACCTACCAAAGGAGGATAGTAATAAGTGAGTCGGTCAGAAGAAGCAGCCTGCGATCGAAGAATGAGCAAGAACATGGTACAATGCGAGCTCCAAGGGAGCCACGACAAACCTCAAGAACATAGACGGAATAGCTGTGATTGAAGGATTAGCCTTGCAGAGTGCCATTCAGTTGGGTCGGCTCCTACATGAAAAGATATTCCTCTCGCGCATGTTCCATGACCTGAAGCATGTCAGCCATTCGATCGTATGTTTATCCTGCGTCTCAGCAGGGCGCAGGAGATTAATGGTGATGGGTCCCCGGTGCTGGTTAGCGACTAGCGAACCATTTTCCGGGGTTACGGCTAAAGAGGCGTGCCACTCGGCGCCTAAATTGAAGATTCTTACCTTTGACAAACTATTGCTGAGCAGACTGATTAAGGAGGTGACAAGAAGGATGTTCGTCATGCAGACGAAAATTAGCTTGGCGTGCGGCATTAGCCTTGGAACAAAACGTGATAACATTTCAATGCGGCAGTGCACTGACCATCAATGCTGGGCCAAGAATCGGTGAAATCTGTACCAATCAGCGACCTTCTTTGCGAGAGATTGAGATTTAAACTGACTTTTTTAGCAACGTCCTTGCATGCAGCTTGTAAGCCACAATGAACATGGAACATGGTTGGCAGATGTCACTACTCACAAAACCCAGGTAACTCGACCTTTCACCGCCCCAAATCAGCGTCAAAACAGACAACAGGTACAATTGTAACTCTCTTACCCAAAAAATACCTTGATCAATACCCAGGACATTTCCCGAAGCGTAAACTGATCCCTGGCTAGTAATGTGAAGGTGGTGAAAAACCCTGTAACAAAGTCCTTCATTTTAGCCGCAAACAAAGCCAAGACTATCATAGACCGCAACTCACCTAGGTAAAGAATAACCACTAAAGAGAGAAACTTGAGGAAATCTTTGGTCTACAGTCGGTCAGAAAAACGGACACGGCGTCATTGATGCAAAGCCACAGCGATCGACAGGGTTACCATTTGTTTAAGACAGGGAATCTGCTGTCACATTAGCATTCGCATTAGGTTATCCAAAGCAATGCCAACATACCAGGGTCCCAAAAAAAGGGTTGAGGCTCAACAATGAGAAGATTCTGAGTGATCGTTAGATGTCCTACACTCTCAATGAGGCTGAATTCCAGTCAAGAGACTCACCTGGGCACCAGAAGAAGAGCTTCGAGCGACAGTATGTCAAAAGACAGCTCCACGATTTGGCCATCCTTTTTTGCGACACCAATAAAACCTACGAGAAAACAGAAGTAGAAAGTGTCAGTTTTGCCTGAATTTGCCCTTCAGTGAAACCACGGCTGCGTCGTGGTCGGCAGAACCCTTTGCTCCTAAGAACCGAGAGCCATGTCAAAAAGACTTACGTGCGACAAGGTACGCTACGCCAACGCAAATTATACCTAAATCCCATATACTCCAAAAATCAGTGACATAGAGAAGTGCTCCCATGTCTTGAAGCTCGCCAAACTCGTCGTATGCAAAAGCCACAATCCAAAGTAATAGCAAAATTTCAACAGGAACAATCTTTTCCGAGTCTCGTTGAATCAATACAGCGTAGTACAAAGCCAAGAAGCTTGCGAAGAACAGAGCCTGGAACACCTTGAGATACTTTGGCACTCTCAGTCGACAGTATGGGTCTGCCCTCCTAATTCGCGGATGAAAATATCAATATGACGGTCGAAATTTGAGAGGCAAAGATAAACAACTCACTTTTTGTTATAGAGCCGCACTTTCTTGGTTGAATGAACGCTCATAGATTCCCAGAAGACTATATCCCCGCGCCAGATGCCGTTGATGACATTCTGGATTCCCCTCTGACTCAGGAAAGTCTTCGCATCGGCGATTGCGGCAATCTCCAGAGCGTTCTTACCAAGAAATAACGGCGTTAGGTCTATTTCGTCCTCTTGATCTCCCGCATAAGTTCCGAAATGCAGCGGAACCGCAGCCGGTGTGGCGGGAATCGTCGCAGCGCGAGACAGCAAATGCGTCTGCTCGTCGGGATCATCAGCAGAATTTGAATGACGGCCGTTTGCTTGGCCGTTTTCGGGATCCGCGATTTCCTCGGCAGCAGGATGTGGAAGGAAATAAAGAAGATAGTCTATGACTTCTCTCTCTGAAAGATGTGCAAGAAACCGCCAGGCCACAATTTCGCAAGCAAGGCCTCTCGTGTCGTTGATGCCTCTATCATCGGCGTCCAATGAGGCAAAGTGAGATTTGAGTGCACTATCGCGGTTAACAGGCATTCAGTTGATCTTCTCGCGAGAGCATATGTGCGTACAGAAGCGCGGAAACAATTGCTGGATGATGGACCTCGACGGTGAGATACTTGACAAGTTGCCTCAATGGTCGCCCAACCACCGAGCTTCGAAGATCCTCAAAGGTATGCGGAGTTTCAATCGCAGTGACAAAAAAGCTGCAAAGCATTTCAGTTATATTTCCTACTGTTTTCTCACACAAGGCAAGCCCATACTAGGAAAGTTTTCGGACAATTGAACCAAAAGCTTCATTGTCCTCGAAGGTAGGTAGCTCTACAACCGTCTCAGACATGTTGGACTTTGTCTGAGAGGGCAATGGCAAGTCGAGTAATGTTATGGCCGCCAAGCTGAATGATACAAGCCGGTTTTTTGTGGGAGAAAAGGATGGAAAAATGAGGTTGCAAGTAGCGATCCTACGAGCGACCCAACACGGCTGGGCGAATGGAGAACGAACTGTTATCACGTAAAGCTTCGCCGATCCAACCAACTCCACTCACCTATCTATCAACAAGTGGAAAAGTCCGGCGGTCAAAATCATGAAATTTGAGAACTTATGTCATCGAAAGGGTTTCAAAGCTTGTCGTTCTCGCTACGCGAAAGACGCGATTGGCGTCAATTATTGGCTAAAGGTTCAATATCTCGGCAAAGTTACCATGGGGGCTTACCCAAGTAACACTAACACCTTACTTATACGAGCGCCGTAGTAGATCCGTATCGGAGTATTGCGAGGAGGGGCGAGGGGGGCAGCTTCTACGGTATCGCAAAGATTTTTTAAAGGCCCCTGGGACTCAATTCGGTTGCCCTGTACTCGTACTGATACTGTAGATCCTGGGTCCATTGTAAACATTGGATATTCACGTAGGATACTCACGCTGGGCTCCGTGCGAAGAGATGGTTTCTTAGTTGAATGAAGCGTTCTGGTATTGGTAAAATAAGCCCTGAATTGTACTATAGAATCGCGCAATCATCGTCCTCTTGCAGGAGGAGAGATTCTGCCATTATGAGGTGCGAGGGCTGCCACCCTGAGGGGCTGAATAAAGTGGCTCGAGCTCCTGCAGGTCTGATCACATGGAGATAAGCCTGCATTGCAATTTAACATCCAATGATTGCGAATACATACACCACGGAGGCAGCTTTCTATTTTCCGAAGCATGATAAGCTATAGACTTTTGAAATCACCTACTTCTTCATTTTTTTGGGCGAGATTATGTGCAAAACCAGAATGACAATATTAAGCGATGAACTTGCAACAGTCCATCTTATTTTCGTAGTACACGGCAGCGCGTCCGGAGGTAGAATGCATTGAACTCGTGACACCTCTCCCTCTGTCAGATGTTCGTAAAAGCAACACACTGCTATGAGCTTCAAGAAAAAGTTCCGACCTCATACTGTGCCCATTTTGCTGAGCCAGCTTGTATGATGTTCTGATCAGTTGAGAACTGAGAGCAAACTGTCCAAAATCTGATGGTAATAAGCAATTTTGTTGTGGTAAAAGCCTTTCCCGCTTGGAATGCGCCCTGTACAACCTGGCGAAGGATGTCAATCAAATAATCTAAAAGTCTGACGAGAATGTCAAGTACCACATTCCATCTGTTCACTTGATAGAGTGCATTTGGCAAACTTAATGAAGCCCAACAAAAATCCGAGCTGGTATAACGCGTTTCGTTCTCGTGAGTGGCATATTGAGGGTTAATATAGTGATGCGGGTTCGGGTTTGCTCTCCGGCCGAAGCGGAAGGCGAGACCGAGGCCTGACTCGATCCCCTACCGGAGCGGGCCGTGCCAAGGCAATCTGGCCAATGGCCGGAGATCACGGGCATACCGCGGACACTTGTAGAGTAGCTCGCAACATCATTGGTCCATCAAAGGATCAGCATACCCCGCTATCAGATGATCTGATAACTCCTTACCTTTTGCCTTGGCAATAAGTAAACTGAGCGTTTCAGCCCATAAGAAGAAGAGGACTTTTTGAAATAAAGGTCCGCGGACTTTAAAAATTGAGAAGAGATTATCTGTAGACGATTCAGACTTTTCAATCTTTTAAATTCGGCGGTCGAGCGCAGCGACAGTCGTTGTCGAGTAACGATTCAAATCAGCCCGGTTTCTTAACCGTACAATAGCGCAATCAAGCACGATGCTTCCTACAAAGCTGAAGTTCTACGGCAAATTCTTTGTCATTGTTTTAAAATACGCATTTGAATTTATAGGCCAACGGATACAAGCAATTATACACAAATGGACATATGTTGCAGATCCATCAGCGAAGAATGTGGTGGTACTTGGGGGCTCCTTCTCCGGGGTATTTGCAGCCAAGCGCCTGGCGGAATCGCTGCCGACTGGATACAAAGTTGTTTTGATCGAAAAGAATTCACACTTTAATTATACATTCAACTTTCCGCGCTATTCGGTTCTGCAGGGTCACGAACAGCTCGCATTCGTGCCATATGATGGCCTGGTGCACGCCCTGCCTCAAGGGTCATTGCAGGTAGTGCATGATACCGCCTTGGGTCTCACTAGAAATGAAGTGGAGTTGAAATCTGGAGAAAAAATCAGTTACGATTACCTTGCAATCGCAACTGGCACGTTGCAGCCTCAACCTTCGAAGCTACTAGCCTCCACAAAGGACGACGCGTGCGTAGAGCTACATGAGCTTCAAGGAGTGATCGAGGCTGCAGCAAGGGTTGCAGTTGTCGGAGGCGGAGCGGTTGGTGTAGAGCTATCAACGGACATCAAAAGCTTCTACCCGGACAAATCTGTCACTCTGATCCATTCTCGAGACCAATTGCTGCCAAGCTTTGGTAGGCGATTGCATGAGCATGTCCTCGACGCAATGGAGAGATTGGGAGTTGATGTCATACTCAACGAGCGTCCAGTATTGCCGAGCACGACACGATTCGTGAATAAGGAGACGTCGTTGGAACTCAAGAACGGTCGGGTTCTGGATTTCGATCTCGTTGTATGTTGACCTATCTCTTGCCCAGTAGCATGTTCTGCGTTAACTCTCTCTTCCATAGATTCCTTGCACTGGTCAGCGACCCAATTCTAAGCTCTGGGACGAATTCGCTTCTCAAGGAACGTCTTCCTCGACTGGCAGGATATTGGTCAAGCCAACTCTGCAGGTAGCCAGCGAGGAGCACGCGAATATTTTTGTTCTGGGTGATGTTGCAGAGACAGGAGGCCCAAAAATGGCACGTGCCGGTCTTGTCCAGTCAGAGGTCGTGAGAGAAAATATAGTAAGATTGATCAAAGATAAAGGAAATTTGAAGGAATACACGCCGAAATCCATAGAAGGAACTATCAAATTGACACTTGGAAAGGTAAGTCCTGATCATGTTCTCCAAAACAACAATCTGAAAGAAAGCTTATGAGACGTGCATTTTAGAGTGATTGGGTCGCGTATATGAAGGATGGTAAAGATGATCTTCTACTCTCCGGGAAGACAAAGGACGATGACTTGGGTGTATCGCAAATATGGAAATTGTTGGGTGCCGATCCAAAGGGAGTGCAGTAGTTATGTAGCGACGACCCATAACGTGGCGTTCGTAGGAAGAGATCGTTGGGACTCAAGCGAATAGATTTTGATTTGCGTAGTCGAGATCCTCATGTCTAAAGTCACTGAAATCCTGTGGATTGATTTCAGTTGACCCATTTATTCGTTATTTTTTTTATTCCGTTGTCCTAAGTTAGATCTCCGCTCTTTTAGTTAATGTTTGTTTTTGCGTTTGGGAGGGCGTCCTTCGCAAGTAGGATCCCATGGTGGTCACGTGCTCGAGATTGTCATGCCAGATGTGCGATGTAGACTTTTTGATAATTGACTATTATTTGTATCATGCAGGCTATAGATGGTATCGAGATTAATTGAGATTGATCCCCCGGCAGGTTAGGGGGAAACATCTGCCTCTGTTTTTCATGGGTGCGGGAGGATTTGAAGTTGTTACTTAAATCAAATCTCGAGTAATTTCAATAATTGATCAAGAAAAAATTTCGTGCCTAAAAATTCGATCGCAAAGCCACGTAAAATAAATTGACTAATAAAAAATTTGGTAGATGGTATGTTTTAAAAGAAAAAAATAAATAAAAATTAAAAATGGAAAATTTTGAATGTAGTGAAAGAATAAATCCAAAAAAATGAACCCAGTGTGATTTGAACACACAGCCTTTCGATCTGGAGTCGAACGCGCTACCGTTGCGCCATAGGTCCTTGGTTGTTGTTAATGGTCAGTTACATTGAGTATATGATACAAAGACAAGAACAGTATCATCTGTGCATGCCAGCCAATCCGTGTTAATCAGTGGCCGGCCTCTTCACACCCTTTATTTAAAAATAGAGTAAATTAAAATAAAACTGGTATGGCTCAACGTCAACTACTTTTACTCTAAATCCAAGAATCCCTATCGCACAATGACAGATATATATATTCTACAGCTGCACGACATCATTTGTTTAATGGCCATGGGAGATTGGCGTATCAGAAAGCATTGCTCAGTCGGTAATGTCGGCGAATCGCACGCCGATGTAGCGAAAAATGGCGGAGGAAACGGGGGCCGTGAAGGTGCGACGTCGCTCCGGATCCTGAAGATTTCCCCAGATGCAGGTACTTTTCGTCACCACCAAGCCTAAAGTGGGCAAACCAAGTCAGTGAAGACGAAGCTTATTCTTGAGGCTTTGGATTGGACATGCCCTATGCTCCTATAGACGGCCAGTGTCTGAGATAACGAACCCTGTCAATATGCGGCCTGGTAGGTTTCGCGTGTTGCCAAAGAGCGAGTCCCGTTTCGGTGTCGGTGGTTATCGGCTCCTTGACTGCGGTGTGGGCTGAATCCGCAAATACACAGAAGAATCCTTTGACGGTTGCAAAAGTAGCTGCTCCTATTTCTTTCTATAGAGAGCTACTTTCCTGTCAATCTCTCATTTCAAGCCTTTTATTGCATCGGGCCTAAAAGCAATAGAAGATGGATCGAGCAACGGAATATCTGGTATTCCGACCTCCTTCTGCGAGATGCGCATATAACTGTGATGAATTCCCCCCTTTCATGACCCTCCAGGATTCAGCCTGTCAGCCTTTCCAATCTACATTTCCAGGAGATTAAGCTCCAGATCCGTTGAGGCTTGTATCTCAGGAACTTTAATTCACTTTGTCTTTCTTATGCGGCTGCTCCAAGAGTGATTTACTACTCGGTCCCTCGACTAGCTTTATCCAACAGTTACCTCTCAACGCCCGCCACGTCATTACGGTGGTTTCAAGAGGGGTTTGACAATCGCCAGGCTCAAGAAATATATTAGAAAAGAAAAAATATTCGGAAAGCGGAGGAACCAGGTTCAATTATCTTGTCATAAAGACCACCGGCAAAATGTCTGCACAAGGGCAGCAACGGCATCCACAACAGATGCATAAACCCTACTTTCCGCAGGTTGCTAGCCTTGGAGGTGTACCGACAGTCAAAGTTGATGTGCCCATCAGCGCTGTCTTCCTATTTCTCTTCATAATTTCCGCAGCAGCGCATATGACAATATTCCAACTGAACAAGCGGAAAGGGCATAAATTCGTCATATCAGGAATGATGTTTGGTGTGACACCTCCCTGTTACCGTTCCTTTATCATTCTACGTCCTACAAGGCCCTTATTCTAATGTTCTCAGGCTTCTCCATGGCGCGAATAACTGCCTGCATTCTACGGATAGCATGGGCGACGAGACCAACCCACATACCGCTCGCCATTGCCGCACAGATTTTCGTAGCAGCAGGAGTGGTGCTGATGTTCGTCATCAATCTCATCTTCGCCCAGCGCATTCTCCGCGGCGCGCAGCCATTCATTGGGTGGCACAAGCTCTCCAAAATCCCTTTTACCTTTCTTTATGCCTTGATCGTTGTATCTTTGGTCATGCTCATCACTTGCACCGTGCAATCCTTCTACACGCTGAACCGTAACACGCACCGCATCGACCGCGACGTGCAACTCTACGGCCAGACCATTTTCGCCATCATGTCCTTTTTGCCGATCCCAATCGTCCTGATCTGCAACCTGGTCCCCAAACACGCGGAGTGGGAAAAGTTTGGCGGAGGCCGCTGGCGAACCAAGATGTGGATCATTCTTGTCGGTGCTGTCTTGCTTTGCCTGGGTGCTACTTTCCGTTGCGGCACAAACTACAAGACACCCCGCCCAAGAACCGACCCGGCCTGGTATCATTCCAAGGCATGTTTCTACCTCTTCAATTTCACCATCGAGATTACTGTCCTCTACCTCTACGCCATCACTCGTGTGGATCAGCGCTTCCACGTGCCCGACGGCAGCAAAGGCCCAGGCGACTACTCGAAGCGTCTTGGTGGCGCCGTCTCTGAGCACATGTCTGAGATTGACATGGAGGAAAACAGGTCTGTCAAGGACCAGCATCACCATGCGCACGACAAGGATCCTAGCACTGGAGGTGATGACCTTCAGAGGTGATGACGCGCGGGTAGATTTTTGGCTTTGGTTTTGCCGCGCTCATATTTTCTCTCTTGCCATTAGATATTTTTTTTTCATCCTTCCATTTCTCCATCTGTATATTTCCCATTACTTTCACATCTTTCTTCCTCCTCCCACTTTCATCCCTCATCCTCTTCCCTCTATCCTGACCTCGTCCTCTTCCCACTATCTCCACCGTCTTTCCTCCTCTCCATCTACCCCGACCCGACTCCTCTTCCAACATGCTCGAATACCCAAAAGCGAAGAACAACATTCATCCTCATCTTCATCTTCATCTTTCATCCCAGTCCTCATATTCCTCCTACTCTTTCATCCTCTATACGCCATGCGACCCATTTTCCAAGCACCATTTGATACAATGCACATAATAGCCTTCATACTTATATCCGTACACCCGTACATCTGTACATACGTACATACGTACCTCCATACGTACATAATCAGAAGATACCAAATACCACGTAATACTTTCCTCCGCATCTGGCTTTTATCCATGCTCTGTCAATATTTCCTGTCAATATGCCCTGTCACCATGTCCTTTCAAACAAGCTCTATCAATAATGTCCCCTCAACATATTTCTGTCAATGGAAAAAGCAATTCCATACCTGATTCTATCGCACGAGTACTACATCCAGCCGTACCTCTATCTGTCCAAACTCTATGGAACCAACCTCTGGCACTCGCGGTCGCACTCGCAGTGGCATTGACATGCCTCGTCAGTGCTTGTCCGCCCGTCAGCCGTCCGCCCGTCGGTGCCTTCGGTGCCTTCGGTGGCTATTAGACTCCTACGTACAGAGTAGGATCCCATACATACCTTCCGTGGGAATCCATACATACCTTGAAATATTCAAAAAAAAAAAAATTGTCAAACAGAAGGAGACAAAAAAAGAAAAGAAAATGGGCATAAAAAGGTAAACCAGAAAGTAAATAACGGTCCTATCGCGATTCGCAATTCGCAACCAAGGCCTGCTCAGGGGGTTCAATGCTGCGAACTGCTATACTGCGACAGTGCGAACTGCGAACTGCGACATTGCGACAATGCGACACTACGACCGCGCAAGGATTGCGACGACGTCCGACGATATTTGACGTATTTCCTATTCTGGACGGGACATGCTCTGACTATACTATCTGACCAATCGACCAATCGAGCAATGACAAACAGGCCAGTGAATAATTAATTCACAGACGAGTACTAAGCTTGAATAATATATTTGGTAACAGATCCATTGAACATGGTTCAAATGATAAAAGTAACAGACGCCTATATAAGATACGACGTATACAATGAAATGAGAAATGAACAGACCAAACAAGGGGAGCTCCGAATAACATAAAAAGAAACAAAAAAAAAGCATGCGAGATCCCGTACAAAACTAGTGAAAATAGACAACTAGAAAACCAGAAACCAGAAAACCAGAAAGGGCATGCTGCCGAGAAAAGGAACGAAAAGGCCAGAGACGAACAAAGAAAGCAGGAAAAAAGCATCAAATGTGAAAAAAGACATGCTCTATCGACACACCGAGCCGATGATTGATATCAACCAATACCCAACCACAACAGCAACAACAACAGCAACAACAACAACAACAACAACAACAACGACCGGTCACCAAAACCTCGTCCAAGACCCCGGGGGATATCAACCGACCAACCGTTTCGCGCCGAATCAAAATCAAATCATATATCGCCATTCCGTCATGTCATTCAACCGTACAAAACCCATGATGATATATGGCATAAAATGAGACAAGACCAAAGTAAAAAGGTAAGGAATGGTATCAAAAGAGAAAACAAAGAGAAGGAGGGAGAATACTCGTAAATGAACTCGTTTGTGTCGACAATCTTGTAGTCTGTTGGCTGCGAAAGATAGATGAGCCTGTTGCCAAAAGAAATGATGTTAAATATAATGTCGCAGACAAGCCAGTGTCTGCTAACGAGAGTACGGTTTATTCAACAGCGCAATCTCCCGTGCGATGGTGGCCCACTCGTGCTCACGCCGGACAGGAAGCTTGCGCTTCAATTGTTGATATTCTTCCCATTTCAAAAGCTCGTACCTGGATATACGTCAGACACATAACCGTACGAGAATCAGGCATGAGCATGAGATTGCCCAAGTCAAAAGTACTCGACAAAAATCAAAGACTCACGAGAAGCGAAGGTGGGGCTGAATGATCACATTTAACCGTCGTGCGCGAACAAAACAACTACAGTCACATTAGTCATGAGAGCAAAAATTACGGACCCATAAGGTAACTCACTAGGCTCGCGGAAATGACATTCCTGTATGATTCATAACCTCTGCAATGCAAATGGTGGCAGACCGAGAGACGCCAACTCGACAATGAACAAGGGTGGCCGTTCCATCCCGTTTGCCTTTACCTGCGTGCACACACGACATTAGAGACACAAAGTACAAGTAATCGACAAGTTCGAAACTCACCAATAAACTCCAAACATCTATCAAACTCTTCTGTCAAAGGATCAACGCCGTTATCCTGCACACGCTCGACTAAAAGTAAATTCTCTTTGCCCCACTTCTCTATCTCTTCTTTAGGCCATGAGACTGGCTCTCCCACGCTCAGAACCCTCCTGATACCCAGTTTCCAGAGCAATTCAGGGTTATTCGCGTGACCCAAGTTTCCAAGGTACATGTATGGCAAAATCCGATTAGGCAGCGATCCATCCATTCGGCTTAGCCAAGCGGGCTCTTGGAAGGCCCTGGGATCCGCCTTCCAACGGGGGGACTCTTGTAGCAGTCGAGGCTGGATAGTCGATAAAAGACTCACGTCCGACGAATAAGCAAAGAAATTTCGTCCCTTTTCCCGATGCAACTGAAGCCATGCCTCGTGAACCGGAAGGCCCTCGGCATACATAAAGTAGGCCAGAGCTAACAGGGAACTTTCGGTGTAGCCGTCAGTGCAGTGAATGAGTATTCTTCGAGGCCGCAAATCATGCATCTCCATGATTGTATCGCCATCGCTATCCTTTTTGAAGTCGTGCTGAGCCTCCCCAGGATACGCCAAGTCATATATCCATCGGCATGTCTCTACAATGGAATCCACCTCGGCATGAGACCATGTCGGAGGCATGATGCTGCCAGACGACGGGAATAGTAAATGCTGTGGTTCCCCAGTTTGTTCGAGACGATCGATGACACCTTGCAAGGTACGTGAATTTGGAGCCTGGGCTGAATCGCTTGCCTCAATTAAGATATCAAAGAAAGGAAAATCGGAGTCGGGCATCTTATTCGGGCATAGAGATGAGTCTGGAGTAGGACCGAGCCAGACATTTCGTGAAATTTCAGATGCCTGGGACATGGTGCACATCTCTCGCCGCTCCCAATAAACTGAGGATTCAATCTGTTAAACAAAGCCTCATGAACACAAGTCACAAGTCAACTCACAAAAGTCCATGACATTTTCATTCATGCAACCCTGGGAATCAATGGCCACTAGATCTGGAAATTTCTTCTCTATCTCATGGAAAGAATCTGTTTACAACCAAGGAAAGAAAAAGAGTCCATTAGCATATCTTCATAGAAATGGTGCAGCGGAAGGGGGGGGGGGGGAAGAAATTTACCGGTTAAAACAAAGGTGCTATACATGGGAAACTCGGTACCAGTCGGATCAAGCCTAATTTTGCAGGCGTGCTGAGCTTCAGAGATCCTGCAGGCCAATCGTTTCACCTCTTCTGGACTCGTGTTCTCATCACCGTAAATAACAATGTCCGAGACCGTGGCCATCTTCGCCGCCTGAATCTGAAAGTTGCGCACCGAAAACCCAAATTTAGGGTCTACATCGGGAAAAACGGAGACTTCAGTGTCCCTGGCAGGAAGAATCTCTTCCGGAGAGAGGGCAGCTTTGATCCTTGCTCTTGTCAGGTCTCCACCTGCCTTTACTACAGTAATTGCTCTCAGATAGGGCGGGGTCCTCCGCATGGCCTTGCGACGGGCCATGAAAAAGGAGAGTTGGATATTGTTTTCGGCATGAAGGCCATGCAGCCAAGGAAAGACGAGATTCGGGTCAGGCAACGGTTGCGTAGAGATATGATCAAAGGCCGCTGCAAAGTTGGCTGCATCGAGAGCATAGACGAGAGGCGACTGACTCAGGCGCGGGAAGACGTCGGGCGGGTGCAAAACGGATGAAGTTTGGAAGCTTAAATGGCCGGTGGGAGGAGACGCAGGCGGCGTGGCTGGTGTTTGGGCCGGGGAGAGGCCCGGAGGGCATATTGGGATATGCTTATTTGGCACGGGTGGCACGTCAATGGGGGACGATGTGTTGAGACTGATGGCCGGCGTGGCCACGGGTGGTGGAGTTGGGGATTGCCGAAATGGCACAGGGCGCACGACAGCAGCTGCCATGGTCGAATTTGGGAATGTACACAATCTTGAGGATCCTGCCTGGTCCTAGACGGACACCAAGCACTTGTTGAAAGCTGTGGTGTCGGGTACAAGTTTATGCTAAGGAATCAGCATCACCCGGACAGAGACAAATTGTCCCAGGTTTGCCAGGAGATTTGGTGTAGTAGACGATAAGTTCTTGGGAGGAGGGACAAAAAGTCTCGCAGCAGGTGCAATTCGCCCTGCGTGATATTGTGTAATTTGCTTTCAAAAGCAGAGTGCGGCTGCAATTGAGGTTGGAAATCGAAGACTGAACGATAGATGATAGAATTGGACCTGTCACAGCATGAGCACACACCTCTCGTTCTTTCGACGGCAAATCGGCACCCAGAGAGTGGTCAAATTGTAAACAGGAAAGGGTTCAGAACTATCAACGTTCTTGACAGGCGAGAGTCATGGCTCAACCAGTGACAAGCACTTTAATTGGACATGCAATCACCTTGTCGTGCCCAGGTAGTGGATCCTGCGATGAGGAGAGAGAGTGAAAGGGAGCCTTACACAGAGGGCGGGTGGCGGTTGGCCGGGTGGCCGGGCTGGAAATGTCTTGAGCGATAAGCTACAAGGGCACAGACGACCAGGCCGGTCCTCGTCGTCTGATATCGGGTGACAAGCTGTGACAATAGGACGAGAAGGCGAAGACGTTTTGGAAGAAGGACACAGGGGAAGGAAAATGTGGGCGAGAATGTAAGGATGGGCAACAGGTGCGGAGGGGAATAATGATAATAATCATTCAGCCCTTGGGACTTAAGTGTGTGTGTGGGAGCCCTTTGGCAAATGCTACGGCAGCGCAGGGCCAACAACAACCCCATACGCCAAGAAGCAGCAAAGCAGCAGACTTGGGCTAGTTAAGTCACACTCTAATGATTTCGAACAAAGCAACAGAAGAGCAAGGAAAAGGTAAAATAATCGACAGAGAAAGAGAGAAATTGTTTGCTTGATTGGCTTCTACAATCAGGGTCTTGTTGATATTTCGATTCTCTATCTTCCTTATGCGTCTTTCGCCTTATCACCACTAACTACCTACCTATATGCACGTCAATGTTCAATGTTTCTACACGGTCGCTGAGCAAGGGAAATCATTTGAAGCACACGCACACACTTTCCCTCTCGCTCCTCATCTCTCTTGTACTCATCTTGCTCGCGCCTCTTCTCACTGCTGGCCCGTTCCGTGCGTTGTTCTTGTCCAGTGAGGGTGCCACACCAGCCGACAGATGATCACCCCTCCACCATCATCGACCAAACCCATGTTGAGTTTACCGTGTCAAGAAACCGACCGAAAGCGTCAAGGGTCGTCTGAAGCATCGCGGTTGATGATTGGAGAGGATTCTGCATCTCCCCCAGTCCAGGGCGTCACCGCCTCCCCGTCAGAACCAATCACAACCGTCAATCATCTCAAACCCAATTCGCTCCCCCCCAGTCGCACATCCCCCATGCTTTTGGGAACTTATTTTCGCCTAAGTTGAACTATTTAGACTTGCTTGTGAAATCGCTTGATGATATAATAACCCCCGTCAGATTCGCTATCTCTCGCCTCTCATATCTTAGTGGAAAAAGTAGTTCTGTTACCGTTGTTACTCCCCTACGTAAGTCCGTAGCTGAGCCCAAAAAGTGGTTTCATGGAGGTCTCGGGATAGTCTTACTGTATTTTCCCTTGAACAGCTGCACAGCTCTCTGTTTAGTCATGTCGATTTCAGATGAATATTCAGGACATTTCCCTGAATGTAAATCTAGATCCCTCACCTAGTATTACTTTTTTGCATAATAATAATCCAAGTGAAGGGCCGTACCCAATCCGCCCTTTGTCGCAGTCAAAGATCCCCTTGCCGAGATGGTTAGCCCACCGGCACATGTGGGGACAAGATAACTATGCGAAAGATAACTTAATGTCAGGACCGTCATGATGACTCTAGCCTCTGCTCCATGCGGCCCATTTGATAAGGCAGAGGAACGCGTAAACATTCTCTAGCGCGCTTGAGAGATAGTACCATTTCGCATGGTTGTGCTTGATCAATCAATGACTCCGTTGCTCCTGGTTCTGAACGTCCAATCGTTATGTTTAACAGGCATATTCTCGCGTAGAGGGGGAAAGCAGTGGAACAGGACTGGATGCGTCCTGAAAAGGGTTCCCAAATTCTGGAACATGGACAAACCAGCATCAATTGGTTTCCAGTCTGAGACAAACAAACGAGGCGAAAACAAAAAACTCCCCAAAAGCTCACCTTCAAATTGAGAGACATACCTTACCTACCCGGGGTTGCATACTACGTAGTTGCATCTTTCTGGAATGACCAGCCACTTAAATGCCAAAACCCAGCCGATAAGAAGCGAGAGAAAAAGGGGACCTGCCTGCGTCTGCTCCCCGGCAACTATGCACGGGGGCCACACATAGACGCCATCGACCGCGATGACGGGTACACCTTGGAACCTCGTCTTGTTTCAGGTTTAGGCTTATGGTGACTTGTTGTCCAGCCCTCAAACCACAGCATCATTTTGGTCTTTCACTGATCCTACCCTTGTCAGTTTGCGCATTCCACCTTGGTTATAGTTAGGCCCCCAAACTCCAAACTTGCAATAGCATCTGCAAATGTGATGTGCAGTAGGGCCCATCATCAATCGAACCGAGTAGTTATGTCTAGTGTAAAAGGAGCAATATAATATATATATATATACATTACGCACACGGGTATCACGTCGCTTCAAATGCCTCAGAATCCGCATCCCACCATCCTCGCATACCTGTCACTGTCGAAAAGTCTTCTTGATGGCCCGCATACTTGGGATGGTGTTCTCCTGTCCGGGAGCCCTCCCAATCTCCATGACTAGGAATCGCACAAAGTCCCGAGACACCCAGTAGCTGCTGTGCGCTCCCAACATGTTAAGGTACTGAATTTCCAATGGTCCACCGCCGTAACGCAGGTAATAGTCAATTTGCCGGTTGTCATTAAGAAGCAGAAACTTCTTCTCGGCGATTTCTTCGCGACTGAAATTATGTGTTTCCATCTCAATCGTGGATGGAAAACGTGCCATTGGAGGTTTTGTGCCTGCGGCGGCAGCGGCGGCCGAGCCCGGATTCACGCCCTTAAATACACTTCCCAGGCTAGACATCCAACCGGCTCTGGCGCTAGGAACCACTCCCGGTCTCAATGAATCAGAATAGTCAACATCGACAGTGGCGTTGAGACGATATGCGATCGCTATATGATATAGTTAGTAGCGAAATACAGGCAGAAGATTTTCGCAAAACCTACGGTCGTTGTAGTTGAGGACATTGTAGATGTTGTCGATAGCCAAGCAACCAAAAGTACCTGCTTCACCGGCAATGCCCCTCCCAATATCTTCACCGTCAGCTCCAGGCTTATTTCGACCCTTGCGCGGGAGTAGTTTTGCTAGTGTGCATGTTAATTGACAGAATCTTGCGAGAACCAAATACTCTCCGGGGACACACCTTTGTTCAATAGAAGGAAAAAGCCTGCAGGGCTACCACAGAAGAACAAATTCTTGGTATCAAATTCAAAATGCCGTGAGCTTGGTGTTAGGGATTGTGGGGTTCGAGCTGCACTCGGAACACTCGTCGGCTGCCGGCTCAGAATATCTAGGCACATGGCACTTCCTAGGCAAATGTTAGATAATTTGTTCGCTTTATTTTGGTCAGATTCAGCATGAACTCATGTACCCAGGGAATGTGCAATTATATGAACTCTACCAGTCTGCTCAAAACCTGGGTTGTTCTTGCACCAGAGCCGGTAGACCCGGTTGGCTTCCTTGACTACCGCTTCAATCATTTTCGACTTATGATGAGAGAGGTAGTATGGAATATCGAGCATGACGTCGCTGATGAGATTTCGCACAGCTGGAATCGTTTCCGGAGTAATGTCCTTGAGAGAAAATTCGTTGTCGATGGCGCTCTCCTCCATTGTTTGTCCGGGTTCTTCGTCTTCAAAAGACACCGTCGACCGCCAATTTACCTTTTCAAAAGTCAGCAAAAGATGGAACAAGTTGATTTAAGAGCACGCCATACAGGTAATAGCATAATACCCCCCATTTCCTGGCGCAAATGATGATGGGTGGCAGGATCGTCGGTGCCTAACTCGACATTTACCTCTCGACGAAACGCATTAATGGCGTGAGTAAAATGAAAACTCTCTACACGCTCAGAGAGCTTTTGACCGATTCTACTTTCGTTAGCCGAACACCCGTGCAAAATTTTGGGGATGAGCCTACCCATGGATGACGAGTACCAGGTCAGTGACCGGTGGCCGTCGTTCTAGCGCTAAGCAAGCAGCGCAAAGGTTTTGTGGAGTAGCACCCTCCGCATGTGTCTGAGCAGCGCCTTCATAAGCTCGCGTGGTTCTGGCTTTACTTTTTGAAGGATGGTACTTCTCCCAGGATGCCCAGTCAAATCCTCTTAGAACTGGTATCCCGACCGAGCTACCCTTTCGTCTGATCGTATTTAACGGTTTCCTGCCATAATAGGCAGAAGGCAGTTGACTCGGACGAAGGATGAAAGCTTGTCTTGCGTTTGCGTATATCACGCTGGAGTTTGGGTACAGTTTCGTCGCCTCAGGTTTTGGGCCGGGCTTCTCCGTCTCATGCTCACCTTGGCCGGCAATGGCGAGAAGGGAATCCGGGGCATCCGCTGAGCTCGACTGGAGGATATTGCTAGCATCAGACGACGGGCCATGACGAGTTTCCGAGCCCGCCGTTCCCGGTCTGCTCGGGGCGGTCTCGTCTCTTGGCCACAATCGATGAACAATCTTGGCTTCACCTTCAGGCCCAACCTCTAGTGCGCTGTTTAATTCATCGTTCCAAGTTTCGGTCCAGGGTTTTAATTCGATATAGCCTGCCTCAAGCTGATTTGCAACTTCCGGTTCAACAGGAGTCATATCCCGGTAAAACCAAGTTCCTCTTATCACTGAAGAAACATCATGCACCGGTGACCAATATATAGGTTTCATCCTGAATGACTATCAGTAGATTGCTCTAGTACGTTATATTGTTGATTTCCTTACTTGAATTCGGGCATCACTACAACATGAAGCCGTGAAACACCAACCAGAACATGGGCTTGCTCAGCCTTTTCCGACTCAGATTTCGACTGAGAGCGAGGTCGATTGGGTAGACTCTGTGATCTGGAATGTCCCGATAAGTCGAATTGCGACGTCGGAGCGAATTGAGTGAAATGACCGTCATTGTTGATGCTTCTACTGGCCTTGCGGCCGCCAGGTGGAATATAACGCGGTATCTCATTTCGACTCGGAGCTCTTAGAAAGGGCGTTCCGGTGGTGTCCTTCTCGAGGAGGTTTGCAGCATGTATCAACTCAGGCGGCGGTATCGACGTGTCCAATGCATTCTCCTGTACAGAATTGGGAGCCGATTGCGCCATTCCATTCCCATCAAGGCTTTGCCTACCCTTGCCTTTGATTGCCATTGCATTTTCTCGCCGCTCCGGTTGAGGGAGGCTTGCACGCCGATAACCGCTATCAGGAGCTTCGACTGCGAAGTCCTGAAATGCATTCGGAACCTGGGTACCCTGGTTCTGACTGCTGCCTGGTCGACTGGCGCCTTCATAAATTCGGCCTTCGGCACCAGGTCTTGATGGTGGATTGGATAAAAGACTGCTTCTTCGTCGACCTCCTCGACTTGCCGTGTCCCTCCTGGACGGCCCCGGTTCATTTTGGGAGTTTTGAAGAAGTTCGGCCCATTTCTCCTCCAGGGCTTTGTTATCATAAGCTGAATATGGCCTTGGCGCATATGTGGCAGTACTAGTACCTGACGGAGAGGGAACTGGCGAAAGTGGGTCATCAATCGGGAGAGGAGAAGTATAGAAAAATTGTGCCCGGACAGCAGGCGGTGACTCTGGAGATCCGAAACTCCCTTTGGCCGCCTGATGAGTAGGACCAGAGAGTAGACATGATGGCCCGTAGGTATGCTGGTGAGTAGCCATGCTTATATCCAACCCTTAATTCCTCCTCTGATTCTCCAGCCACGAGCAGACTTTTACAAAACAGTAGAAGCTAACAAGCTTTTGCACGAAGAGCTCAAGAAGAAAAGATTGCGGCAGTACACAGCCGGATCATGCATCTTTTTTGACCATCCATATTTCTGCAGGTGCGAATAAAATATCAATCATACCATTTGAAACGAGCTTTTATGGAAGAACAAAAGGAATCTGAGAGGTGTAGGTCATCCGGTGTAGTCATGATTTGCTTGGAACCTTGAAAGGTTGCCTGCCAGAGCTCACCAGCCTGGTCCGTGCGTCATATGTGACAAGGGTCCGCGCCACAAGGACAGCCAATCCGCATGTGATCCCCCCACACGCTCACCTCACCCAAAGAGATACTCCCACAACATCATCTGAGTTGCAATAGCATATACAGTGCTTTTTTATATACTTTCTTGTGGGTTTTGGATCATCTATAACGTGTTAGCTATTGCTTAAGAATGTGCTTAAGGGGTCTGACTTTGGCGACCAGCATCTCCCTTGCAAAGCTACTCTCCGTTCATGTTGCTCACGGTTTATTGATTCTTCTCAGGCTCTGCATCAGTGGCGACGGTTTAGGGTCTTTGCCCTCATCAAAAGCTATTTGCTGGCTGTCCCAGGCTATTCAGCGACCCCAACTATGATTGCCTGCTGCTTATGTCCTCTCAAGCAAATCCAGCGTCGCATCGTTAGTTTCGTAAACCTTCTCTATCAATCGGCCTAGATGGGTCAATGAATTATCCCCAAAGAGTCTCAGATATCTTAAAGCATGGCGTACTATTCCGGAGCATGAAAAAATGAGCATTTGGATATACATTTATCAGATCACTGGAATGTATTGTTGAAGCTCTCAATTTTTGCCCCTCTTTCGTTTCTCAAATTGGCGAGATTTTCAAATGTTTCTAAGTGTAGTACATCCCCCATTTTCTCAGACCTTGTTCCTTAATGGATTCATTAATGCTGGCTCTCTGTACCTTTTTGCTATCTTCATTTGAGCCCCGGCATCCGCTTTTGCACGGCTTCTTGTGATATCCCCGTACATAAAGTGAGGCATACGTCAAATCGGATTACCTTTCGGACCTTCTAGCCAATGACAGAAATGGACACTGGGGAAGAGGCTAGCAATACAATCTTTGATGAAGAGGCCTGCCGAGATTTCCTTACGCTCGAGTTAGGCTGCGAGATACCCCGCTACTATCGATATGCTGAGGGTATCCATGAAGTGCAAAAACGCCTTATTCTCTGCTATGGGGACAATTATATCGCCGAGGCAATGGGTGTCTTCTACGACCTCTTGGAGGGGGAGGATAATGCATCTGGGCTTGGGGATGACGGGGATTTCTGGCGCACGTGGAGACATGACTTCAAGCTTCGCAGAGTGCGCCATCTACGCTTCCACAAACCTACATTCACTGGCTAACTTTTCGTCTCTACCTGTTTTAGGAGGACTTTTCCAACCCTGGAACTCCAAAATTCTCCAAAATGATTCTCCCAGCAACAGTGGAACCAAAACGACGAACTTCGTTGAGTCGAGCCCCAGGAAACTATGAGCGAGGCCAAAAGCGCGTCTCTTTTCTCACTCCTAAAGGTGAAGTCATTCCGAAACCAAATTAAAAAATTACCAAGATGGTAGCAGCTGTTACTCAGGCGAATGCTGACCAAAAACAAACAGCAACCACACAGTTGATTGCGGATTCGAATAATTCGACTTCAAAAATCGCAACCGCAAACACTGACCACAGCACTGCAGGGTGAGTTCCTGAATTTCAACCCGTCATTATGTAGTCCGTTCATTTCCTCTGATTCTTTGACACAAACAGATCTGCAAATCCGGTCTTCATGGCCTTTCCCAGCACATTCCTAAGAATTTTTCAAAAGGACCGAAAGCAAAAGGGACAGCTGGGCACAATTCATAGCGACGACATCAACCGCGGCAGACGGCTGCGTGGGATGTCTGCTCCTGAGCGGGTGTATTCCTCACATGCAGCGGGAGAGTCAGCAAGGCACGACGGCCGTGAGCATGTAGCTTGTGGAAGTTCCAGAAAGTCGGACGATCCGCCTCCTCCTTATCCCGCAATAAACTCCTTTGATGGTGCTGGAGATCATTGGGATGAGTCGATGCGAGCAAGGGGTGGCCCCGTAGGGAGATCTGACAGCTTCGACAAAGAAAAGTCTTCAGCTAGCCAGCGGTTGAGCAGCTCAGAGCTCCACAACTCAAGCTCGACATATGTGTCGTCCTCGTATCTTTCAAGCCGGTCAAGCAAGCAGGATTCTCAATCAGCCGCTAGAAACCTCCTCGGCACAAATACGGAGGGCCAAGATTCGGTGAGTGCACGGGGTCTCAGCCCCCTAGATCCCGAAAAGTACAGTCCAGCTCCTTACGCAGGAAGAATGCCTGACATACAAAGCTTGTGAGTGTTGATTTTCGTATATCATTTTCTTGGAGAGAGTTGACTGATCGACTGTAATTTTAGAAATATTCAGTATATGAGTCCCCCAAGGACCGGACCATTCGACGTGAGGAGCGGCGAGAGATGGCGAATGATCCCCGAAGAAAATCCGTCATGGGCAGCGCCCGATCATTGGGTTGATGCAAAAGAAGATATTCAGCGGTCATATCATGCAACAAAAGGCATGATTAAGTCACGATCCGATGGCGCCATGATTTCTCCATATCCACCAATGCAAGCTGTGCCTAATCAAGGCCACCAGCAAAGAACTCGCACAGACGGCTTCTCGGAGGAAGAATTACGAGGCCGCCCTGCACAAAGATCGTCGAGCAGGAAAGTAGCGCAATTGCTAGGAGACATTGATGAAATTCCGCACCTAGAAAGGAAACGATCTCGTTCCCCAATCAAAAAGATATTTGGTGAAAACGGCTGGTTAGGGCGCAGCAAAAGCATGAAGGATTTTGCGCATGAAAAAGACGGGAGAAAAAGCTTGAAGCAGCTGAGTGGAAAGATCAAGCAACGCGTGGACGAGATTGTAAGCAGCATTGAAGCGGAAAGGAATTCAGCAATGATACTAAACCAATGAATAGGCCGAGGAAATGATCCATTTAATACCAAATCCATTTCATCCTGATGGTTCCTCCAAACGAGAATACGTCAGCAAATTCCCAGTATCTCTCGACCCTCCCACACAAGCCAAGCTCTATAGCGAGATAGAGCTCATGATCTGCGCGACGGCTAATACGTATCTGATAAAACAAAATCAGGAATGTCGCATGTCCGTTGAGTCGTTACGGAGGGTCATTGAATATTGGAGGTCGAAAGGAAGACCCCAAGTCATTGAATTCCAATTTGATCAAGCTACCCAGCGGGACCTGATTCTGTACAATATCAAAACTTTCCGCTTCTTTGGCGAAAGGGCAGAGAATCCTGTGGCTCTCAATGCCATGATGCATACATGGAAAACTGTGGCGAAGGAAATGGCCGTTCGCACATTTTGCAATCCGGACAGCGTTGTCAGGAAGCACCTGCACGATATTCATCTCACCTTGGAGTTTCTAGGAGCACCTGCAGTCACATTTCTTGCATTTCAAGACATGCAGCTAGAAGCTCTAAGGGCCATGAATGAAGCGCAGAAAGCACGCGAAAACAACAGATTTCAGCAAGGCGTCGAGAAGGTATGGATTCCACCAGTTGAGTTATTCAGCCGACCTGAAAATCCTGAACTGCGACCCGGTCACGGGCGGTGAATGCGGTCATATTATTTACTGTTCCAAATAAAGTCTTCGAGCCACGATTTCCTTTCAGCTTTGCTTCAGCGCAGTCCATTTCGATGGAGGGTCAAATAATCATCAACCATGGCTATGCTCAAATGTAACGGTGCTTTTGAGTACGAAGAAGGATGGATAGCGGACTGAACTGCTTTAACTTGGCTGATCAATCTGTTGTTTTTCGAGTGCCTGATTGAAAATTAACATGATAAACAATAAATAACAATTCAACTTCTCCAGCGATAGATATGCGCGGTGACAGTTTTAACTAAGCTTGGTAAAAGACAGTTTGCAACGGGGCAAAGACGTGGCTTTGCGGAGGGCGTCGGCCCAAACCACCGCAGACACCGAGCCGTTCCCCGCACTACCCACCATCCAACCCAAAAAGGTATACAAATCCTTAACACTGGATCGGAGGACTGAGTCAACCAATATATAATGCTGCCAAAATAGTAGTAGCTTAACCTTGTGTACAATTGTATGAAGCAAAGCATCTCTCCCGTGGAATTGAGCTGAGTCATAAAGCGCCTACACTTGAGAACATTTGCTGATAGAGTTTGTGGCCAGGTATATATATATCTTCAATCAACTGAGATCTGTTCTAGATCTCATAATAATAAGATACGTGATTCAGGTTTTTGTGGTCAGAGCTTGTTTTACATACACCAGATTTTATATAAGCTTGTTTGCAGACTGCATTCTATACATATTAGCATTTCAACCATATCCAAGCAATAAGGAAACCATAACATGACATCGACCACCACGGAAATAGAACTTCCACCTGCAATTGCTCATAAACCAGGAAGAGCATCTTCAGCTATAGCTCCCCAGGAAATCTCAACAGGTCATGTCGACCACAACGATCCCGAGCCGCCGACAAACTTTGTCCGGGCGCGGCAGCGATGGAACCATCCAAAGAGTAACATCTCGCGGGTCTTTTCAACATTCTGGTCTTTTGTCGTAATGGGTGCCAATGATGCTGCATACGGCGTACGTTTCCCCTCTCCCCTACTCAATGTCGTTTCGCCCCTTATTATTACTTTAAATAAAAGCTTATCGTACAATTGCTTCCAATGCTTACACTCCACTAGGCACTCATTCCATATGTAAGCAATTAACCTCTCCTGTGAGGCTGGCCGTTGTGCATATATCGCCATCTCATGCTCATCAATGATACGCAGCTCGAGAAATATTATTCTCTGGGCTACACAGTCATTGCACTCGTCTTTCTTTCTCCCTTTATCGGCTACACTTCTGCGGCTGCGCTCATCAGCAGAATCCACCACCGCTTCGGACAGCGCGGGATTGCACTGATTGGGCCCATCTGCCATACCATCACGTATATTATCCTCTGCGTCCATCCACCGTGGCCCGTGGTCGTTATTGTTTGTGTCCTCGCTGGATTCGGCAATGGCGTTCTAGACGCCGCATGGAACACATATATCGGAAACATGGCGAACGCGAACGAGATTCTCGGATTCCTGCACGGCTTCTACGGTCTAGGAGCGACAATCAGTCCATTGATTGCCACGAGCATGATCACCAAGGGACATCTTCCCTGGTATTCGTTTTACTACCTCATGGTCTGTTTTTCTTTCCCCCTTCCCCTTCTTCAATCTCCTATAAACAATTTCTATAAACAACTCCACTCCGCTCCGTTGCTTTTCTACACTTCATATCCACGTCACCACCTACTAACAATAATCTATCTTGTGATTGAACAGATTTGCCTTGGCGTGATTGAGCTCGGCACTGCGGCTGTAGCGTTCTGGTCATCAACCGGCAAAGTATTCCGCGACGCACAACAGGTATCTGCAGGATCCAAGAGCGGATCGACACGCCAGGTGATCAGGAACCAAGCCACATGGCTCTGTTCGGCTTTCCTATTTGTCTACGTTGGCGTCGAAGTATCCCTGGGCGGCTGGATCGTGACGTTCATGATCAACGTCCGGTCCGGTACGGCTTTTGCTTCTGGGATCAGTGCTGTGGGATTCTGGCTCGGCATTACCGTGGGAAGGGTGATTCTCGGATTTGTGACCCCGAGA